GACAATTGTTCAGGTCAAACCAGTCTCCTGGTAATTATGTTTACAGTACTACTAGTTTTTAGTGTTCTTTTGACAAATACATTTTGAAGGAGAGCTAGTTTTCATCTCAACGTGATTTTTTTCCCATACATAGTACAGTTGGTGCTGTTTTAAACACATTATGAGCAAAGTCAGTAGTCAGAGCCATTGCTGAGAACTTCTGCCCTGAAGTGTATCGAGGACAGCCTCAAAAACACAAATTCAGACTTCCAGGGTTTCATACGTAACAACTAGTGATGCACCATATTAAAATTTCTGGCTGATACCAATATCTGATATTAGGATCTCGGATATCGCCGATAACCGATATTACTGATGTCGATATTCAATTTCTGTTCACACTGAAAAGTGAGTGTAAGTAAGTCCTGTGAGAACGTGAAAACTATTCAAAAGAAGCCCAAACCAAATTAGACCACATCATCTTCTTTAATATGTAACAACAGTAAAACATATTTTGACATATTTAATGTTCAAGTCCAGGACCATTTAAGTAAAAACATCTGTGACGTATCAGCAATATCAAATGTAGACACGAAGGCCCTCATGTTAGACAATCATCAGTTTTTCACATCGACTACATTTGTTCATCGGACCGATTCCGATATATGGGGGGAAAAAAACTGTAATATTTGCCAATACCAAAGTGGTCACAGATATATCGTGCATCCCTAGTGACAACTCTGAGATACCAGTCCTGCAACTTTGAAGGTTGGGCTTTCCATATCCTTATTCTTCTTCAGAATTTGGTTCCATCATTTATGGATGAAATACGCCCAAATTTCAACTTGCCATTGTGTAGCGTAGTAGCTTTACAGTGTTTGAGCAGAGTGGTGAGCTAGTGTGCCCAAGCTGCAGCGAGTGGTGGAGGGGGGGTTGTAGATAGATGAGCACATTATGGAAGATGCAACACTTTAGAGTTACATTTTAAGGCAGGAAGGGAAAAAAATCTCTAAATATGTTGCTTTGATAGATTTTGATGAGTTTTTAGGGGTTTATCAGTGTCAAGGGAAGAACATTAAATAGCCCCTCTGCTGAAGGTTAATGATTTATTTTATAAAAGTATACATTTTTTATTATGCTAATAGGTGTAGTCTTTGTTTCAGCCAGTGTCTCCCACTCCTGCTTTACAACACTGCCAGAAACCCTGCCATGCCCGCCTATTTCCATAATTATTTAAATCTAAATAGAAACACTGAAATACAACCAATTCCTAGAAAACAGTCTTCAAGGACTGTTCTGAAATGTCCACTCCATGGTTTCAAGGGTAGTACTTGAAAATAACTGTTTCTTCTGTCTCTTTTTACATAAGTCTAACTTTTTGAATGGGGAGCTCAGTCGGTGCTACAAACTGAAGCTCACATGGTGGAAAACCTTCCCAAACATGGCTACAATCACAGATAAGACTGTTCAAGGACATATGGCTTCCAAAAATGTCTCTTTTTTAAAAAAAAAAATTTATTGGGAAATCACAACTCAATGAAACAGTCTGAGTAAAATGAGAAATTATCAAATTAAAACAAGATCCCCTTATGAGTATTTGGTGAACACTATTCAATTCCAAAGTAAATTGCACTACCAGGGGCATGTTTTTAGACATGGGTGCCCTCTAAACTGGATCCCTCCACTTTCCTCATGCAGAAGACGGCAATGCTGCATTTTAAAGTGTTGAACACAATAGTCTTTTTATATAATAATTCAGGCAGTTCCCACTTTGACATCACATTTAAATCTTGTCATTTTTTTCCTAAAGTGGGTGATGGCTTATCAAAGGGAGATGAGACAGTAAATAGAAATGTACTCAATGTCACGATGACTCATCCAGTGACTCAAAGTAGCAACTACTTAATGCTCCACAGCAGCGTCTCTCAGTGTTTGAGGAAAGCAAACTACAGTAAAAAAATAAGCAAAACTTCTCCGTTCCTGAGTGACAGAGCCTATTAACACAGAGGAGGTCAAATCAAATCAGAAGCCATCAAATTAAAAGTAGCATGTCAACACAGAAATACCCCAGCAAGCTATACCCTGCTGGGCAGCCACAATGCAATAAATTGGCCGGATGATTGGCTATTAAAAATATGTGAAATTAGCTTTCATTGCATAACATCTATCACAGTGTGAGCCTTTCAGCATAATGGATCAGGCGAAGGTGAAAACTGAATTGGAGGAGAGAAAAGAATTACTGAAGGGCTCAGTGGCCGGTTTTAACTTTCTTTTAAATTTGCTCTTTTTCATGTGTGTGTATCAAGAAAGTGAGGATTTTAATAAAGATATGTTGTTTACCTGCGCTCACACTGAATAATGTATATATCTAAGAAATTGAATATGAAGGACTAGGCCTTGGATTTTGTTATTAAAAACCACGGATCTAATAAACTAAAGTAGCGGAAGGTCTGTTTGACAGATTTCACAGGATCATAAGCTCATCCTGCATTCACGGATACAGCCAACAATGGCTGACACAGAAGTGTGTAGCACACAGATGATAATGATGTTGTGAATATAGAGATCAAAGTCTTCTCGCTCTGGTGATTAAGCGTCCTAACAAATGCATGTATGAGGACAGCCTTATCACCTAGGACCACACAGAGGCCTTTCCATATCTGTCGCTCTCAGATGGCCAACCTGCGCCTGCCATGTGCTACGCTGCCAAATAAAAACACCACAGGCATTGCCTCTGTGGCCAGCCTGGCCTGTTCATTTGACTGATGAAAGAAATCATTCTCAGTTTGGAAAACGAAAAAGTTTTCAATGCCTTATCACTTCAGGACAACTAGTCGGTAATTAAATGAAGCACAGGAAGTACAAGTCTGGAGAATTTGTTGGGCTTGTTAAAACTTCACAGCTATTGTTAACTTGTTTACTTTGGCTCCAGTTTTGAGCCTAAAGCACATTCTGTGCATCTTTTTTGTTAACTGGGAAAATTATCTTCATTAGTAAACAACTGGAAAAGGAAAATAAGAGTGGTACAACATGATATAAACACTGTGTTTCATTTTTAAAATTGCTTCTGTGCTTTTCACCTTGCCTAAGCAGAAAACACTTTTCTGTTCGACGTGCAGCTTGTTTTCCCTTTTACACAGGTTGATAAATTGGCTTGACCCCTCATTTGAGCGTCTCCGAAGGTTTATAAATGTTCTAAACCGGTGTGATTAAGATCGGCTTCAGTCATTACACTAATGGACATGCATTTTAATTAATGACACCCTCATTTGCATCCCATGTTAATTATCTAAATCATTTTGTCTCATCTGTTCACTGTAATTAGCACCTATCAACAGCTTCACTGAATATTTCCGAGAGATAACAGTGCTCTTCCTGTATTTTACTACTAAAGAAATGCTTGGTTACTTAGTTGGTTGCTTGGCAGTGTGGCTTCTGTCCCTGCCAAAGGCGCCATTACTACATTACATCTTACATAGCAGATAGTTGTTTGTTGCTATATTAATGCTACAGTAGCTTTATAATGTAGTTACTACGACGTGAACCACAGTACATAACTTGTACACTGGGGGTGGGATGTATCCTGCAAAATTCTGCTAACAGCGGAGATAAATTAATGTTTCTGAATTTGAAACTTTTTAAATTTGATTGTATGTGCGTGCGGGTGATAAAATAAACATTTTGCCAAAGGAAAAAGCAGCATAATGTGTCTTAGTAAGCTGCTGAGCCAATGTGTTTTCTTAGAACAGCTTCAATGTGCCTTTGTATTTGATCTCTGAGTCTCTTCAACTCAACTAGAGGGACGATCTTCCAAAAGATATTCCTTCATTTGTTGGTTTGATGGTGGTGGTGGTCTAACATGTCAGTCCAAAATCTCCCATAGGTGCCTGGTTGGGTTGAGATCTGATGACCGTGAAGGCCGTAGCATACGATTCACATCATTTTCGTTGTCATCAAACCATTCAGTGACCCCGTGTGCCCTTTGGATGGGAGCACTGTCATACTAGAAGACAACAGTCCCATTGGACAGAAATGTTCCTTCTCAAGATATAAATTATCACTCACAACAGCTTTGTATTGATTTTCTAGTGATCCTTCCCTCTAAGGGGACATGTGGACCCAAACAATATCAGCAAAAAATAAAAATAAAAAATAACAGAGCTAGCGGATCACCTCAATGAAGTAGTCAAGAGTTCAGGTTTTTCTTTTAGGTTGTCACCTTTCTGTAAAAACAGCAAAAGTAACATCAGCTTCCTGCCTTGGTTTCCTCATAACCAGTTCCATTCAAGAAATCATCAAACAAATAACCCTCCACAGAGTTGTTTTGTTTTTTTTGTTTTTTTTCAACATTACATTTCAAGACTTTACTGGCAGTAGTTAAAGCATCAATAAGTGCTGACAGTGGGCAGGGGTAGACTGTCTCCTACACGCTGCATTCACACACATATGTTGTGTGTTGTACAGCAGTAGAGTTAACAAGCCAGCTTTCATCTAACTCTTTAAATTCAAACACACAGTGAAGCTGTTGTCATTAACCTGTGTTTTACATTTCTGTTGTCAGCAAGCTTCGACAACAATCAATATTGATTTGATCAACTCAGTGTAGCAGCAGAGCAATTACTGTTCACCTTGGTTAAATGGTGGCGTTCAAATCGTTATTTTAGGCTCATTCAGTTGTCTGACTTTAAAAACTGAAAAACAAATGGATAAATTGTAATGAAACACGCCGTAGATGACTGTGCAAAGCAGGATGGGAAAGAACTAAGTTTAACCAGCTGAAATTAGGCATCGCAAGAGAGAAGAAAGTAGAGGAGACTGAGCCATATCCCTGTTGTTTTTGGTGTTTCAGTGTGGACATACTGTTTTCAAATCTTTTGTGAGGATACTGTCAAAATCTTAAAAGGAATACAATGATAGATGAATATGTCAGACCCTGAATGCATAATTCAACTGTCTAAGACTGACAGAAAAAGTCTGCAGCCAGACACTTCACTGAACAACAAAAAGAAATGAATTCTTACCTGAGAGTAAACATCTCCACAGGAGAGTATGCTGACACAGTGATAAAAGCAGACACGGTTTCCCTCTGTCTCATGGGTGTGGCTGGCACCATGACCATAAAGTTATTATCCAGTCTGTGTTCAGCAAGAGGGGGCTCGGTAGGGTTCTGGTAGAGCCTCACACCGCCAATCCTCCTCAGCGGAGTGGAAGTGTAGGAACCAAACAGCCCTTCCTGGCTTGAGCGGATGAAATTGTCCTTCCTGGACTCCTCTGAGTGGCACTCTCCTGCTTCTGTGGACTGCAGCATGTAGTAGAGCTCCACCGGGGTGCCCTCGGACACTTCGAGGTTCCTCTGGCGTCCTGGCACTACACTGGGCGGGCTGAACCAGCTGGCAAGCGGCTGCAGTTCAGCCACACACAGCCCAAGTTCTCCCCTCAGCTGGCAAGTACCACGCACCTCCTGGGTTTCATGGAAAGCAAACATGTGCACGCAGGGCAGCTTGTCGATGGCACTGTAGTCGTCCCAGTCTCTGCCTGCAACATAAAACAGCACCTGGACTCTAGGCTTGGCCAAGTGAATCCGGGTGTTCATGATAAAGGTCTGCACCTTCCAGTTAAAGGTAAAAACAGATGAGGCAGGAAAGGTCCCCGGGCTCTGTAGGAGCTCCAACGGGACAGGTTGCTCCACAGAGAGAGGCCCATAGCTCGTGTTCACGGAGGGCAGACTTCTGGCCTGGTAGATGAAGAAGGGCTCAGTTCGTGACATCAGGCTAGAGTTCCTCATGAAGTCCTGGTTGGCTTCCTTCAGGAAAAATGCCAAGTCTGCGTTGAGCAGCTGATAGTTGACGGGCAGGTATGTGGGGAAGGAGGAATATCTCTGCAATCCCTCTAAGACTCGACAGTCGACTACTAAAAGACAAAAGAGAAAAGATGAGTCAGGGCAGGTTCAACATAGAATCATTTTTTATAAACTGCTTTGACAAAAAACACATTGTGTATACAGATTATCTTTAAGCAAACCAGACCCTTGTATTTAGTGACAACAATATAAACTATTTGAAGGTTTTGTGTGCAACATTCAGAACCACTGGATGTTGCAAGAGTAACAGCATTTCTGACCTAAACGAACGGGCACATCGGCCACACACTGGCGTTGTGAAGTACACCAACTGGCCAAAGAGTCCTCTTTTCTTCACCTGCCTTTCCCTTTCTCCACTCCAAATGTGTTTGTTTCCACAGTCTGTCTGACCAGAGCAGACCCAAATGTGGAAACAAACACACAAAGAGTGGAACAGAATAGATACAAGTGGAGACAGACTCGCAGAAGAAAGCCAGAAAACAGTTGCTAACAATGAACTGAAATGAAACAAGCGCGCATAAATCTGAAAAATACAACCACAAAAATGCTGTGTTTTGAATACTTTTGAGACACAGGCTGAATGCAAGATTGCAGTTCTTCTAAGCGGTGTGGGAGAACACTTTTGTTTAGTTTATAAATGTGGGAGGACCAACGGTTTAAAACGGAAGGACTCAAGTGCACTAAACTCAGACTGCAACACACACAGAGGAAGTGTGACTTCAGTCTCCTCTAAACACAGCATGATTCCACTGTATCTTCACATAGCAGAGGGTTGTTTGCTGATATATTTACTATATTTGTGCTACATTTAATGCTATATTTATGTTTTGCACCTTAACACACATTCTCATTGTGTTCAACTTTAGCAGGTTAGTTAATCACTGCACTCACATGCATTAATCATTTTAAGCATCAGGCCAAAGTTGTGATTTTATTTTAAATGTAGCAGCAGAGTTAATTCCATTTAAGAAAAAAGATTAGATAAAATCAACAACTATACAGTCACGTTGAATGTTAAAGGGACATTTAATTCCCCTTTTTTTTCAGCTTGATGAGTTAATTCATCATCTGACATGAAGAACTCAGAGATGCGGCTGCTCTTATTGGAGCCACTTGCGGCAGAATCAGTGCAAAGACGCCATGCGAGGCGTACGGGGACTGAAAACTTCATAATGGCTAACACTGTTTTCCTTATTTTTAGAAGAAACAACATGATTAATTTAATCTGTACTTATATAGGCACACAGCAAGTTACCATCTCAAATATTTTCACCAGACTACACAACAGAGGGGTCTCGTGAGAATTTTCACCCTGGAACAAATGCATGCTGGGACATCTGCTCACTCAGTGAGCTCAAAGAGTACATTCATTAAACTACACATTTTCAGTCACACAAGTAAAAACAAGTAAGAACAACTCAAGTTTTGAAGTGACCTGAAAAATAGTTATATTTTTAGGAGAATTAACTTGAAATTAACATATACATCTACTTTAAATAGACTGGTGACCTGTCCAGGGTGTCCCCTGCCTTCGCCCTAAGTCGGCTGGGATAGACTCCAGCCCCCCCGCAACCCTAGTGAGGATTAAGCGGTGTATAGATAATGGATGGATGGATGGATCTACTTTAAATCAGCAAGAAAGCACGAGTTGACTGCACTAAACTTCTGTCTTACAGTGTAGCATGGTGTTTTATTTAACATGTATAGTTATGGATGTGTGTGGTTTTTTTATGCCATTTATAATCTCTGACTCATTCCATTGTATGTATTGTTGGCAATCGACAATGGAATTACTGTAGGTTGTGGAGTTACGTAAGTGGCTGCGTGCGGTAATTGCACCTAAAAAAACCTAAAAGAAAAAAAAAAAGGCCAAAAAGGAAATGCAGGCATCTGGAAAGATTTTGTATTGTCTGAATGTTCAACCTGTTATAACTTGTGCTGAAACAATGAAGCAAATAATTGATCTGCAAAAAAATAATCAACAACATTTTTGCAATCAGTTAATTAAGTGTATCCCCTGGTTCCAGCTCTTCATTTTCTGCAGTGTCATTCTGTGCTTATATTTCTGGATTTGTTGCCATAAGTCTACCATAATACCACATAAGCTGCGAGGTAATTAGTTATTTAGGAATATGCAGCAGTAAATTCTCAGTTTATGAGTTTTACAGACGATGTGTATGTTCAAACACACGGAGGAGATGTTATCAGTAATGAAATGAACTAAAGGCAAAATCATAATTGCAATCAAAAACAGTGTGTAGCATCGCCCTCCAAAGCACAAGAACATGTTCACGATACAGACTGATAATTCCTTTGTTATCACCTATGACCCAACTGGTTGAAGAACTGCGCAGCATGCATAAAAAGAGTTTTAATCGCAATAAGAGTGGGCTTTGACCTTCTTCTCAAGAGCAATCTGCTATGTGATTACACTCCCTCAGCACACTCCCATTTTCATGGTAGCTGCTGGAGGATTTCTTCCCTCTGATCACCCTTGTAAATCAATGTCCCAACAGGTTCCCAATCAGACGAGGATTTGTGATTCATGCTCCTCTTGGCCTCAGCGCTGCTGTCCCACTGAGGGATGTAAGGCGGCAGAAGAAAAAAAAAAAAGTCCAAACCTCGAACCGAGCACAGAACCGGCCTGACTTGAAGAATCACTTAGCTGCTTTTGAGTGCAGATATAGACTTTGTCTTTTCGACAAGCAACACGGACTTCTGAGCGGCAGAACAGCGCAGGGTAATTTGTATTTTTCCGGAACATGCGGGAGCTTTGTGTTGAATGTTGGCATGAGGCATTGTTATATATGTGGCATTACGCTGCTGGCAAATGAATAGCTTTATAGGCCAGAAAGACAGAACAGTCAGGAACAAATTGATCTTCGGGTTCCTGGGTAGTAGCATTACTCTCACACCCGTGACGGGGCCCTCATGTGTCGGGTAAGGTGAAAGCAAAGCGCTCTCTCCGCTGAGCTCCTCAGTCTCTGTGAAGTGTGTTTGGAGTGTGATTTATTGTCTTCTCAGTTGACAGAAGGGGTTAAAACGTGCTGATATACACGAGATGGAAAATATAAGATTTCTTACACAGATCACTCATAAACAAATCATGAAAAGAAATACACGTTAGGTTTCAACTTGCTATAGCATTGTATTCACATGACTTCCAGATTGTCCACTGAGCAGCAAAAAATAAAATACAATAGTACTAATAGTATAATAATAGTAGTAAAAATGGTAAAAACACTTTCTTTTTGGTATAAAATAAAAACTGATTACATCTACTGGCATCAAAAGGTCCATTATTAAGCATTTGATCCAAACATTACAAGAATTCTAAAAGGCTCTTTCAGAATAACACTTTGTTAAATCTCTGCAAGGCTGCTTTGATAGCATCTAACACTGCCAAGCAACAACAAAAAAACCCAGAAGCAGACAAAATGAATGAGCCTGTAACTATTTACAAGTACAACACTAAAGCTAGTTCAAGAGCCTCTGAATAAAACTATGTGAAGCAAGACCTTGTTGGAGAAAGACTTTTGTCAAACTACTCAGCATACCTACCAAGTAATTGAATTCTATTTAAAGAAAATCAATGTGGCACACATTGTGTACAAACAAACTGCAACAGCGCAGTCATCTCTTAATAAAATGAGTAGCTAGTCTGGTGGAAAGGAGGAAATGGGACAGAAAATGGAAAATCCAATACAAATTACAACCTCAGTATGTCTGCACCAAACCCTTACTGTGTCAGGACCATGAAGTGTGTGTAGTAATTACTGAACTGGACAATCAGGGATGAACAAGGTTTAAATAGCATTGACTCGCATTTAATTTAACATTGTCTCTAACTCCTGCATGGCTTTTAATGAAGACAGTCGAATCGGGGGAGTTTTATAATGCAAGCAGTCTTTGCAGTGTATTTCAGAGTCTGGATGTGCACAAATATTTGAGAAGCACTTCACCTAGAGCAGGCATAAGCATGCAAACCTTGTTTAGGAACGAGTGCCTGGAAACTGACACTGAATTCATAAACTAGAAAATAATCCTATCTAAAGCCAAATAAAGCCTAGAAATCTCCAAACCCAAATCCAAAATAATCAGAATCAGCAAGTCTGTGTTATGGATTGGAATTAATAAATCATGCAAAGCTATTTCAAGATGAATCACTTGCTCCTTTGTTCTAGGGAGGAGAAATTGAAAAGCACAGTGCAAACCTACTTTTTTCAAATTCCAGCACTTCTTTGTTTTTCTGTGCAGCAGGGATGTAACTCAGATATCTGGACCCCCCCGAGAAAATGTTGCTTAAGGCACTCATTTTTAATAAAATGATTCCTTTTGAATGTGTGTGGGCCCTCACCGAGCTGCAGCCCATACAACCGTCACCATTTACACCCACTAGGAGTTTCACTGCTTTGCAACAGAGACTGGACTTGATGCAATAATATTGGGGACAGTCACAACTTCCCAGGTACTGTAAATCCAATGGGATATACAAGTGTTCCATATTACATGAGTTTATTCAAAATTCTACAGGATGTACTGTTTATAACATCGAGGGACATTATAGTGAGGGGAATAGTTGGGCTAACTTACCTGGGCACCAACCTGGGAAGGGCCTTCACAAAGCCTTCCATCCATCTATTATCTATATACTGCTTGATCCTTACTAGGGTCATGGGGGGCTGGAGTCTATCCCAGCTGACTCAGGGCGAAGGCAAGGGACACCCTGGACAGGTCACCAGTCTATCACTGGGCTACACTTAGAGACAGACAACCAAGCATACTCACATTCACCTACGGACAATTTAGAATCACCAATTAACCTCAACATGTTTTTGGACCTTGTGGGAGGAAACCAAAGAACCCGGAGAGAACCCACGCTGCACGGGGAGAACATGCAAACTCCACGCAGAAAGATCCTGGTGTCCCCACCGTGACGCAAACCAGCAACCTTCTTGCTGCGAGGCAACAGTGCTACCAACTGCACCACCTTGCAGTCCCTTCAAAAATTCAAAAATGAATTCAAAAAATGTTTAGAATAATTAGAACT